GCCAGCCGGAGCAACATTTTTGTGAGAAATAAAAAACACTAACTGTATAGAATTATCGGGTTGAAGCGTTTATTTTTGCATATTTCGCTATTATTATTCATCTTCGAGCCCCGAGTCAAGTTATTGCTAGACACATATGTATATGTATGTAAATGCACATATATTAATCAGTGATATCCTAAACGTAACAACATTTGGCAGCCCATCACTAACCGGTACAGGTGTTTTCTTACAATTCAGCAAGTCAAACTAGTGTGTCGGCGTTGTTCATAACATTATTCTCTTGGCTGTATGGCAATGTAGCGATGTCAGCGATGACGAAATAAGCAAATGAAAACGAAAATATTTTGCGTGGGTMTATCTGCATGTATACTTGTTTACAAGTACATATGTATGAGTATCAAACGAGCGCACAAAACCATTCTCCACGCCTTCGCAACGCTATTGACTGGCCTGCCAGCGTTTTCATATTTATTGATGTCAAACCCTGAGTTCTGCACAAGCAGCGGGATAAGATAGGTAGAAATTGATTTCAGCATTTTCGARAAGCACACCGATATTTTGGGTCGAATTAAGTATACTTGCAGTTCTATCAGAAAGAGTTTTAGTATTATGAAAATTCCAAGCTTCACGCCAATAAATATGTACATACATACGTATGTATCTACTATCATTTTGTCTTGGAAGTCTTCCGAAAGTTTTAGTCGGTAGCTTTCCAATGTCCTAAATGCCTTACCGAAAATTTTTAGAGAGCCTTCTAAACCAAGAATAACAATTGGAGCTGTACCCATTCACATTATGGAAGAGTTTGCGGAAGGATCTTCTTTGGCGCCCAAAACAAGGGGCCGGCGATCCCGATTTTCACAACATTTTTATTCATTATTATATTCACATTTTATTCAGCGATTCAGTTCACTTTGGTTGCATGGGTACGTTAAAAAATAAAATTGTTCCCTTTGGAGTAATGATAATCCCCAAAACATTGTTGAGACGCCGTTACCTCCGCAAGAAGTCACTGTTTAGTGCGTTCTAGGGGCAGAGAGAATCTTCGGCACCCATTCCTTCAAAAATGAAGCCGGTCATACTGTTACAGCAATGGGGAGCGCTATAGACTGTTGATTAATGAGTTTGTCGTGCATAATTTGGAGGATGTTGATGTGAACGATCCTTGGTTCCGAAAAGACCATACCATGCAGCAACAATAAATTTAATGAAAGAAACTTTTGGTGAGCGCATTATCTTGGGTTGTGGGTCGTTCTTGATGTTTTTGTTGAAAATTCATTTTGACAGGATTTAAATCTTTTTGTTCCTACCTAATTTCAAATTACTTAGTTAACTGTATACATACATACATATATACGAAACTGCTTCCGACACCGAACTAGTGTTTTCTTAAAAGGCCCCGATGGACCGGAACGAATCGAACGGATCTATCATAAAGAAATAATATACCATGTGTGGAGAATATATGACAAACCACTAGATTTTCGCATCCGAATAAGTGTATTTCTATTTTTAAGGAAATAATAAATTTTTTCTTCTGTTTATCACAGGAATTTTTTAATCGCTTCGCAAAAATAAAAAAACGGTTATTCACTCAAATCGTTTTCGGTTATTAAATTTTTAAACTATTTCATAGGTGTGCTTTCGGGTTTATTTGCCGAGGTATTTGTATTCGCATTGCTCAAGAGCTCATGCGCACAGGTGCTCTACCGGCGCGTTGAGTGCTACGGCGTGCGCCACTCTACAGCGCCGGCAAAGGTAAGTGAAAAAACCACATCGCTTGTTGCATAAGTGGTGTTTTGGTGAACGTTTGCAACAACAAAGCTACAATCACACAGAAAAAGCTGACAATTCGCGTGTACATTTGTGTGAATGTGTGGGCTTCATGGCTAARGTRCCACACGACCCAATGAAGTGARGAGACTGCAAGCAAAAAATACTCACTTTCAAATTTTTTTCCATGCACTTAGGCGTGCGAAACTGTTATAAGAGCGTAGCGCAGCGCCAACTTGCCGGTTGTCGTTTGCCGGCTTTTGGAGTTGCTTGCAACTAGGTAAATTGTTATGTATGTAGGTTTGCATGTGGCAACCGGATTTGATGCCGGTGCGCTGGTGTTCGACTGTTCGACCCCCACCTCGTWACGTGCAATTCTAGCTTCGGGCTGTCGACGTGCACCCAGCAACGTGCCATTTGATCCTTTTCTTGATCTCCGCTAATTTTTCATATTTTTGTCCGTCCACTCGCTTGTTCAGTTTTTGCTCAAAGCTTACTTSCTAAGACTTTAGACAAACAAGTATGAATTGCATAATATGTTTTGCAAACGAAGTTTCTAAGTTGCACGTGTTGTTGCTACAGCTTCTTCAATTAGTTGGTGTAGCTCTGACGTTGTAACTATTGCGAGGACAGGTTTCTACGAGTGAATATTTGTGGAGAGAAACGAATTCGTCATTGATTTATTACCATTATTAGCAAAATATACAAAGCTTTGAACCACAATTTACTTCATGGTGCCACAATTAGTGCACTACAWGCACCTAAAATACTAGATTTAAGCTACCCGGTAGAGACGCTTTGACATATTTTGTCATTCTGTCTGTCGAAAGGTCGTAATGGAAGTTGAGAAAACAAATTGACATTTTGACATTCTGCGCGATGAGTTATGGTCAGAAGTAGTAARGTGCTGGACATCACCTTAAGTAGCGAGCTTATGGAATCTTCAATGTCGGATCACAGAATCATAAGATTCGGACTGAAGGTGGAGGTCACGCAACTCTCCTCCAAACGTATTCCAAAGAACACTTATCAGGATACATTAGATATGTATGTCAGTGAATTTRAAGCTACTAAAGCACTAATGGTGTGCAATCGACTAACTGGGAAATCCTTTGGTTATAAGCCAAGGATTATCAAGTGATTGTATCGTGCGACCGATTATCACGTTTTGAGCAGTGGCTTGGGTCTCAAAATTATCGCAGCTGCAATGATTTGCCTGCATAAGAGTGTCAGGTGCTATGCGAACTTGAAGTTTTGAAAATCASGCCAGCAACTATACGCTGMATCAAATGACAGCAGAAGGGTTTGGCAAAGGAAACATAATCTCGTTCCAGCAAATGACGGCCTTAAATGGCGAAATACCACTGGTTCTTCTCCATAGGGACAGTATTACTAAAAAAGTTAACTTCAGTTTTCCACTTTCGACCTACTGCTTAGGGATAGCACAATCAATTGCTATACCAATGGCTCAAAAACGTYAGAGAGAATTAGTGCAGAGACTAAATTACGTATATCAGATCATAACCAAGGGCAAAYCATCTGGGTGCCTGATCTCAAAGATATAGCCAGCATCCATAAATACGGTAGCACCGAAATCTTTTATTGCGGTTGATTCTTATCCCATAAGGGGGCTGCTCCGCAAGGAGGAGAGAGTTCGCACGGAGAGGTTTTGGCACCAACTCCAAGGCATCATCATCATAATTAATTTCCGGCTGCTTGTCGCATTCTACACTGGATATTATAAGTTCAAGAAGCACTTACATACCATGTGCAAATTGTCGGTTCTRCGACATGAAGCCTGAAACTTCAGAACATCTGATAATGGGCTGCACAGTAATCTGCAGACGCAGGTTCAAGGCCCTTGGTTCCAAGTTTCCCAATAGGAACATCACCCAATAACACCTATCAGAAAATTGGAATTCATCAATATACTCGGGCTAAAAGATTGTTGTGAATTAGGATAGGTCAAAATTRACCTTACGTCGAGGTGAAACCCTCATTTATTTWYCTATCYATCTATCTACCTATCAATACTCGAGCCATATTTGTCTAACAGGAGGTTTAGCGTGAAACAATCGGAATTTATCACTGAGGAGTTTCAAGTAAAAGCTGGTGTTCCTCAAGCTAGCGTTCGGGAGCCTATATTACATATGGACTGCATACATATATCCCAGTAAATCGAAACATCAATTTTCGCGAACGACACAACCATAATATGCCGTWATKWATKTGTTATAAAAGCATCGAAATGGATTGGTCAACTTAATTCTCGTCGAAGATGGTTTTGTAAAATAAAGTCAGTGAGCAAAAGTGTAAAGAAGTTTCATTTACATTATGCCCAAAAACATGTCCTGCAAATGATGTAACATATCTCGGAAAACACTTAGAYAGAAGATTCATCTGGAAAGAAA